CCAGGTGATGGCCGCGGCCCGGGGCGCGACGGCCGCGACTGGCCGTGAGGCGCCTGCTGCTTGACGGGGAGGTGCTGCTGCTCCCCTGCCCCGCCGTGCTGCGCGGCTGCTCGGAGGCAGCTCGTCTCTCCGCCCACCCGGCTGGCGCTCTCCGTGAGTACCCTGTCTCGTCGTGATCCCGGAGGCGCGAGGCGGCTCTACACCCCTTCGTAGTTATACTGTACCGCATGCACGCGAGTGGACGGGTTGCCTACTCTCTCGCCGTAAGGCGCCGGCATGACGAGAGAGAGAGAGAGACGAGAGCTCAACTAGAATACCATAGTTCCGGTGCAATAACCCATCGAACCGCATAACTTGTAATTGTTCCGATTTAAGTTGTACACCGAATGTAAGTGAAATTGCAGACAGTAACACAAATTGTTTTGATGACCCTCTCCCACCGAAGCCATAAAGGGCATAGGGGTGCATGGCACTTCCTCACGAACACACGTCTCAACAAGAGCCGGTGGAGGCAAGCATTTCGTGGGCGCGCCTCCTACACGCAACCGTAAACGATGTCCCTAACGGCGCCCTTGCACTGCTCTGCACCCGACCCGACGCGTCGCGGTCGCGACGACGCCCCCGCGAGACCGTGGAGCGGCCAGTGCGGTTGTTGGCCGTCAGGCCACAGTGTTGCACGTGATCAGCCGTCCGATCAGATCACAAATCCCCACAACCCCACGCACCGTTAAAGTTCCGCTGGATCGCGAAGCGAGGTGTCGCCTTGAAGGGCGAGAGAAGCGAAGTGCGAATGAGTGGACGGCGCGGCGGGGCGGGCCTCGGCCGGCCGGTGTCAGCTAACTCCAGACCCTCTCAAGCGCCTCCAGCTCGGGCGGGGCGCAGCAAGGCGCAGCGGCCTAGGCCGGAGTCCGGCGAGGGCGAGGAGGCCCCCAACAGGTGCAGCGGGGCCTTGAAATTTCTCACTCTCATCACGACTTTACCATGACTGACAGGACAGGGGCTGATCTATGAAACATCGATGCTCACAGGATCACCCTGGCTCAAACGGCGTCTCTTCTGCTTGCAGGTGCCCTCCCTCTCCCTCTCATATGGCGACCTTCGACGGCCCGTTCATCTTCCGCATCAACGATGCAGGCAATCCGGGGCCCAACCTTCTCGTGCAGGTGAGGTCGCACGTCTGCAACCTGCGCTAATGCACGCCACGCCACTCAGCGCCCGCAACTTCAACTCGGCCGAGCACCTGAGCAGCGCCCCCCTAAGTGGCCGGGGCGTCGTCGGGGTTCCCCTAATAGATTGATCAGGCCAGACGCCGACAGGAGAGCGTGGAGGGCGTGGGCGGGGCGCGCAAAGCGGCAGCCATATCCGCGCAAACGGCCAGCCATCTGCGCAAACGGGTCGGGATAAATCGGCACCCTTATTCCCCGCCCAGGTGGTGCAGCGCCGCCAGAGCCGCAGCTTTGTACCATGAGAAATTGCACTGCGCCAAAGGGAAGAGAGAATGAGAGAGCGAGCTTGCGAAAAGAAAAAGCATAAGCAGCGCGCCGGTAGCAGGACATGCAGTGGTATCGCGTGCCGCAGGACCGTGCGCTCACTGCATGGCGCTGCATTTTTATTCCATTAAAAGTTGTACCCGCCTCTCCGGCCGGCGGTGCAGTGCGGCGACACAGGACGACGCACCGGAAATTAGAACGGTGCCCGCCGGGGCCGCGGACAGACAGCCTCTGCACCTCGCCACCACCTTCACCACCTTCACCACCTTCACCACCTTCACCACCTACCCACCTTCCCGTCCACCAGACCTGGCTACCTACCTACTCTACCTTACCTACCTACCCCACTACGCGAGCGAGAAAATTTGTCAACCCTGCATGCTTGCACCGTGTCCTTGTCACCTGTCCGTCGTGCCCTACTCGCACCTCCCACTCTCCCTCCTGCAACCCTCTACTCCCCCTCTCTGTCTCTGTCCATCCCCCTCCCCCTCTCTCCCTCTTGCGCTCTCCTTTCTTTTCCCTCGTCAATCATGCTTCCTCTGGTGTGAGAAGAACGGACGGATATTCTGATCCGAGAAGTATCAACAACGTTATCGTATCGACGTGGGATATTTATAACATGACAGCATGTGTCGGAACTCCGGACGGAACGGGACACTACGGGGCGTCTTGAGCCCCCCACTGCTGCCCCCTGGAGACCCCC